GTTTTTAGAATTATATTGTTGAGTGTGAATAGGCTGACACCTACACGATCCACGGCATAATCGAACTGAGTTTAACACAGTAATACTTCAAATACGTCAAAAGTTGAAACGTATGAATTTAATACCATCCAACGGTCCACCTTTAGAATTCAGGCGTCCGTTCCACAAAATTATCGTAGCGTTAAGGTTATCGCAACTCATATACTTTAACTTAGACCAACTGTCGTTGCGCTACCGTACGATCGCCTTGTGGAACGGGGCCTTGCACCTCAAAGTTTACAATCACGTCACAATACCCAATGACGTAATTTTGGAATTTTGTTGCAAGATCCTACGGCGAAACAATGCCTTGTGACGTCAACCTAGCAACAAGGTTGCTTGGGTCATTGTGTGTGAATAAGCTCCTCTCAGTGATCTATCATCTCCAACGCAATGTCGTTGAATAAGCCAAGGGATGTTGAGAGCTTTCAATATGTGTTCGTGAAACGTGTTCCGAGAGTACATAAGCACGCGTTTTGGTATTACACAATGTGTAATACAGCTGTATGTTTATTAAACGGGTGATCTCTTCACGGGCAAGTAATAAATAGAGGATTCATCGCGAGTGTGTTTTAATATGGGAAATATCAACCGAGTCTTAGTTAATCGGTATTTGCTGAGCCTTTGGCGAGGCAAATACCGATTAACGGGACGAGGTTGATATTTCCCATATTAAAAAACACGAGCGATGAATTCTATTTATCATTTTCACATTTTTGCTTCCAAATTAAGGAATAATTGCATTAAACATTAACATCAGCAATTTGTCGAAATCTTACGTATAGATCGAGCGTAGTGATACATGTTTTCCATAGCCATGTAAAGCAAAATAAACAATTCGCTGAGAAAAAAAGTTCCTCGGATTATTTTAAACAAAATACTTGAACAGATTTTTGCAGAATAATTGAAACTTTTATAACGGTAACAACAACGATTCTGTGTAATCTGATTATATCTCTGGTGTAACTTCACTTATATTATATAGTTTCAAACCAAACCGCTCGCTCTTCCGGTTATCTAATTTGCATATCTAATTTGCATACTTATGTCATTGGGGTATGACATACATGTTTTATGTCATAAGCTTATGTCATGGATAAATGCTTAAGTTAAATGATAAACACAGTTATGTATCAGCCAAAGTCTATTTAGAAAGGAAATCAACAGACAACAATTGCCTTTCTACCGACGTACCTCTTCTCACCTTTTTTCTTAAGGCCAACCGTGCTTGAAATATGTCAAACATAAAACACGTATGTGTTATCAAAACACAATTACATCTCAATCTGAACCATACCGAACTCCTATGTGAACACAACTTCTTCCGAATCATCGATAAAAATTGAAATTGATATGTTAATTTTTCAGTCATGTCGCAAATGATGTTCCTCCTAATTCTTCCGAGTGTTATATTAGAGTAGACAGCTGAAACAGCTGACTGTCTCACGTAAATCTTAGCCAGTGTCACTGTTCCAGCTCATGTGTCTCGTCCTGGCTGTTCTCATCCTTGTAAAAAGCTCCATGTCAGTCAAATACTCAAATCCTCTGCATTTAGACAGAGGTGAGGTGAAAAGGGGTTTTACGTCGCGTCCAAGATTGTTGCACTTATATAGCGACGTGCATGTACGTGTGTGTGTTTGTGTGGCTGCTTGTACTAGTCCGGACTGATGCCGATTTACAGTGAGATACCATGCCGTAGTTTAACGTGAATATCCCACTCAGACACAGTATACTGACTCCGAGCCGACCAGTCCTTGTTTTAGCCCCTTAATGTCGAGCGTCAGACAGGGTAACAACAAGTACCATCTTTTCATGTCTTTTGGTATGACGCGGCCGGGGATCGAACCCCGGACCTTCCGCTCTCCGGGCGGACGCTCTACCACTAGACCACGGAGGCGGTCCATTTAGACAGAGCCTCCGTGACAAGATCGAGAGGGAGCCAGTGAAGGAGCCTACGAAGACAATAGGGTGGAGCCAATAGGGTTGGTACAGCTTCTGTTTGTTATTATTACTTTAAGTGTCGCCTCCTGCCGTAGCTATTTCGGCAGATATGTCCCCTTTGGGACTCATGTGTGTGTACACATATCTATTGTGATTTTTAGTATTCATAAAATTTCTGTTTTAATATTGATATAATTTCTATTTTCGTACATTGATATAATTTCATTTTTATCTTTGGCTGCTCTGTTTATATACGTTCGAGTGGCTGTCCATCTCTCAGAAATGGTTACTTTGGCCTTCGCTGTTGCATCTCTTGGCTTTAGGAGATCTACGACAGATAGCGGACAAACTGCAATTATTGTTTTAACCAAGCCCGGGTTGAGCCATTGTCTTGGCATTCCAGTAACAAGTAAAGTACATTGGTACAGCGCCGCTCACCGTTGTTTTATATGCTGTTAAACCGGAAGCCCAGCTTGCCAGTACGCCCCCTGGCGTCACAATGACGGTGGATGAAGGGTACAACAGCGACACTGGTCCCAGGGAAACCCGTTCTACGATCCAAGACACGAGGACAGACAGACAAAACAGGGTTGTTGGTGGCAGGATTAGAGTTGTTCACGTGGAGACCAGTGGCTCCGGTTTGATGAGAGGGAGTGAGAGAACTACACCCACTCACACCCACAATCCCTTCGTATACCAACAGTTCAACCCGGTCAACTACCATCTCTGTTGCAGCAGCAAATCTATGCGCTGATTTTATGTGGGTTTGAATCCCAGGTTCGACCCGATTATGAACCTTGGTTTGGCATCACTGTACCGCCCACATAGACGAAACTCCGTGTTACAAAGTACTGCTCAACGCGGCGTTTAAACACTAACGTGCTCTCTGTGATGTACTCCACCATCATATGTAACATGTTGGTCATGTCGTGTGTGGTGTCACAGTATCGGATGACGTCACAAATGTGGTTCCTCTCGGGATAAGCAGATAAGGTCGTTACTGCTTCGACATTGTTAAATGTTAATTACGGACTTAGCATCAACACCCGGCTAAAAAGGGCAGCTGTCATAAACCATGATGTTAACATATATGATATCTTCTTGAAAGTAGATATTGTGCTCTTATAAAATTGACACTGAATATCATCATCATCATCATCATCATCATCATCATCATCATCATTTACCACCCGCGTGTACATGATCATTAAAAGCATACCCGGATTATCGGAATACAAGAAGAAAATCAATCATTATGGTATTTTCAGTAATAACACTACTAATATTTATATAGCGCCTAGTTCCAGCTAGGCTGCTCACATCCGCTTCACATTAGTATTACCCCGATCTGAGGATGAGTGTGAACTCGATTCTGATTCTCAGCTCCCTGGGGAGTATGCAACCCAATCTGTCTGTGAGACAATGGAAACTGAGCTGGGTGAACTGAGACATATTTGGAACAAAGTCACTTGCCTAAGGAAACGTCAAATGTGTGGGTTCGATCCCCGGTCGCATCATACCAACAGACGTAATAAGACGTAACCCTGCATGGCGCTCGGCTAAAGGGGCTAAAACAAGGACTGGTCGGCTAGGAGTTAGTACACTGTGTCTGAGTAGGGTATTCATGTTAAACTGCGGCGTGGTATCACAGTGGGCTAGCACTATAAAATCGGCATCAGTCCGGACTAATACAAGCAGCCACACACTAATGTGCATGCACGTCGCTCTATAAGTGCAATAAACTTGGACGCGAGGTAAAACCCCATTTCACCTCACCTCATCTATAATAAACCACCAACATGCCGGCGGGAGACACCGAGTGAGTGAGTGAGTGAGTGAGTGAGTTTGGTTTAACGCCGCTTTTAACAGTATTCAAGTCATATCATGGCGTGTCAGCTTAATGTGGGAGGAAAGCCCGAAGTGATGCAGGTCTCAGACGTTTACCACTTCGGTGAAACCCACGAGCATGGGTATGGTGCTGACAAACCTAGAAACATAATCGGGGCGAACCGGGATTCGAACCCACAATCATAGGTTTCTGGCGTGCCTAAGGGACGCAACTCTGCTTAGACGACTGGGCCACCCGTGCCCCCGGGAGACACCGGGGTTCACATATAGTACCCCCATGGGGCATCGGACTCGGGTGTTCTCGTGAGAGGTTAAAGACATCATGTGTCTCATCGATCCTTCTGTTATGCATTGTCTTCTATTCTACTGCCGGATCACCAGCATCTGTAACGAGACGTCTCACTGAACCTGATGTTGAAGCCTGCTCTATTTTAATTGTTACAACAGCTTACCACTTTGCATTGTCCTATCAAGATCCGGGGTAGAATAGGTTTTCAGCATCCCATGCTTGCCGTAAAAGGCGACTATGCTTGTTGTAAGAGGCGACTAACGTGATCGGGTGGTCAGGCTCGCTGACTTGGTTGATGCATGTCATCGATCCCAAATGCGTGGATCGATGATCATGAGATCAATCACTGGATTGTCTGGTCCAGACTCGATTATTTACAGACAGCCGTCATATAGCTGGAATATTGCTGAGTGCGACGTTAAACAACAAACAAACAAACAGACATTGCCCTATCGTGACCTCGGTATATTGTGGGTGTGGATCGTGTAGACCTGGTTCGAACCCGACCTGATACACCGGTATTGGCCATCTGTCAAATTGACAATACTGTTGAATAAGAGCAAATATCTAACACACCCACTCAATCCCTGGGTCGCAATACGTCGTGTGTCGTGCACAGGATAAACCCGTTTAACATGCCCATCAACAACGGCATGACACAGCACAGTTCAATACACGCAGTGCTCAAACATTTGCTCAATCATAATAACAACTATAAGCGTTTTAACAACACCCACACGATCTCTACATAAACATTTGATAACAACATGCAAATGCTTCACAATTCATCGCACTGTATGTACGTATGCAGTATTGAATAAATATTCCCTGGTTTAGCGGTGTGTGAATAGATTCTATACAAAATCACCTTCATTATACAGCTCGTAGCTGTGTCCCGTCCAACCGGTCTCCCGCAGCGGTGTCGACGACAATCAACCCCCGACTTGGCATGTCGTCCCGAGTCAAGATGTAGCCCTGTCATTGAGATACAGGTGCGGTAATGTAGGCCTGCATAATACGGGCGTTGATACATTGGCACAGAGGACAGGTGTACATACTAGGACAACTCTTGGGTCCTTGGACAATCACAACAACCGGTGCTTGGAGCTCTGCGACAACTTCAAGCGCTTGGAGCTCGGTGTGGGACAACGATACAGTGTTTGGAGCTAGCTATGCGAGGTAGACCGCCATGGCGGCCACAGGATGTCTCAAGCCATGGTTCATACTTTTCAACTGTATATTTTGGGTGAGTTAAGTAGCCTACGTTCTCTGGAGAAGACTAGTTCGTTCAGGTTGAGGTTCCCTGTCGGTAAATTAGATTAATCGCGGTCGTCATGCATGAACACATAGATAACAGGGCATGAGAATATTTCCTGTAATTATTAACCTTTCACGCCTGAATGAAAAACGTTATTGCAACCGATCAATGAACGGGAAATTGGACGGTAATATTTTCGGTTGACATGTTACAAGATACTTTGTGTTATGGGTCTCCGAAGGATTATCTTGTATATGTAAACTTGTGTCTCAGTCATGTTTCCGCCCAGGTGAGTTCTAGCATGGGCTGGTACCCTCCCCGTATCACAAAAGGATCGAAGCACTATGCTTGTCGAATTTCATAATATTTTAATGAAGTTTTTCAACGGTCGTAGAACCAGATGGCTTGTGAAGCAGATCCTTGTAATCTTTGTTCTCAAACAATTTGCTCTGATGTAGAGATCATCAAGCTGTCCTCAACCCGTTTCTTTCAATTCAATCATTACACTGTGTGTTTCATATTTATTGACACAATAGTACACTAGTACATAATACAGTACGAAAATCAGCTCAATTTTCTATCTTTAAGGAGTAATGAAAACGTCTTTATAAATTGACCAGTGGTATACAATGTAAACCCTCGTGAGTCCGGACGATACACGTCTCAGTCTAAATGTCCAGTTTAACAAGTGTCCGGTTTAACGTGTTATTGTTATTGTTACGGAGTTATACCGTTTTATATATGAAGATATTCCCGATAATAACTGTCCGGAAAACAGCTTTTTCATAATACCGGTATCCGAGCTAATGGGTGTCACTGTATTCGAGAGGGGCTCTGTTCCCCTGTCATACAGCTGATTACTTTGAACGACGACTCGACATACAGAGTTCTATTGGACAGTAGTGTTGACGGGATCTTACATAAGCACATGACTCAGACTTGACATCCACCTGAGTACGGACTAAAACGCGCGAGTTGTGTTGCCTCACTAAATGTCATGTTTGTTGTTGCCAGTGTTAAAATACGAGGCTGTGTTTACAGCCCATTTACTCTCGCACGTTAGCTAATGTCACCCGACAGCTCGGCATGCTGGGGTAAATGCATTTTAAAGATTTTTCGTGATGTGTACACAATTAGATTATAAAACATATTTTTACAACCCATCAATTGTCTTGCGATATCTGGAACAGGTATTGTCTCCCTCTAGAAAATCAATTCTCCCTTAGCTCCGGAAATACACCGTTAGGTCCTTATGACATTTACAAATATTGTAGATGTTACAAATGTTATAGATATCATTATCATATTATAGATATCTTTATTATATTATAGATATCGTTATTTTGTTATATTATAGACATCATTAGTATATCATAGATATCATTATTATGTTATACATTATAACATTATTTTTATAGTATGTTTGATTGTTTGTTTGTCGTTTAACGTCGCACTCAGCAATATTCCAGCTACATGACGGCGGTCTGTATATAATCGAGTCTAAACCAGACAATCCAGTGATTGATATTATAAGCATCGATCCACGCAACTGAGATACAATGACCTGCATCAACCAAGTCAGCGAGGCTGACCACCCGATCCCGTTAGTCGCCTCTTATTGTTATATTAAAGAATATCGTAGAGAGAAATATCAGACCCTAAATACTTATTTTGAAAACGAATGACACAAAGAATGGGAGGCTTCACGTATTGTGTCCTTGTTTGGACTCGAACTCGTAGTGACTCCACTATCCCAATATATCACTGGACATTTTAGGATTCCCTTTGGATTCCTTTTGGATTCCTTTTGGATTCTTTTGGTTTCCTTTTGGAGTCCCTTTTGGATTCTTTTGGATTCCTTTTGGATTCCTTTGGATACCTATTGGATTCCTTTCGGATTCCTTTTGGATTCCTTTTGGATTCTTTTAATTTCCTTTTGGATTCCTTTTGGATTCCCTTTGGATTCCTTTTGGATTCTTTTGGATTTCTATTCAGAACAGATCCCAAGCATCCCATACGCAGTGTAAAGACACACTGACTCCCTTAATCATCAGACCACACCCTTGACGCTGTAGATACACTATATAATATATATTATTGGTTCTTTCACCAGCTGATCGGGTGTTTCCTGGTGGGGTACATCTCGTGGACGCTGGCGACTAACCCTGCCCTGCTGACCGGCTTCCCACAGGGAACCACAGTAAGTTCACACAGGTGGCATCAGGTCACGTCATCACAGGTCAAGTCAAAATATTCAGAGCAAGACGCTTTGATCGGAATAGTCCTGAACCTTATCGATATCACTTGCTGCTTTGATTATTACAATATGAAGTCCTGAGACTTTAGACCATTATTATGGCGCCACGTGTTCTTGCAATCGATTCTGAGCCAGGATTCCACTGACCATTCCTAATGTGTACTTTAAACAAGTAAAACTGATTATAATGAACTCTAGACCATTATGCAAAATTATAGAGAAATTATGTTTCAACCATAACATGGTCTAAGTCAGATTATATCATTATGATAATATTGCAGACAGACAGACAATTTATTCAATAAAGGCCACTGGCCCAAAATACATACATATGCAGGAATAAATAAAGCCTGCGCAAAATGACATATTTACAAACTGGGAAAATTTACATTATTTACATTTTAATTTTTTTTTTTTTTTATACTTATTCGCAGTGGATTATTTACTATTTACCCTCAGTTGATGAGCTTTGGTAAGAAAAATAGATTTTTTTCCCCAGTTTGTAAATATGTCATTTTGCGCAGGCTTTATGTATTCCTACATATGTAGTATGTATTTTGGGCCAGTGGCCTTTATTGAATAAATTGTCTGTCTGTCTAATGATATTGCTGAGTGCGGCGTTAAACAAACAAATAAACATTATGATGATGTCACGTTATTGTTCTCGCAGTAGATTCTGTGCCAGGAACTCTCTGGACATTCTGAACGTACATTTTAAATAATTAATTTAAAGCCACAAAACCCTTTCCATATTCATAAGAAGTCTGCTGAAAGCTTAGTCGATTGTACGATTCCGACTACATCATAAGCATGTGCTTATGAATGACTATGAAAACATTCGCAACTATAGGTCATTAATTATATGGCGAACTATAGATAAATTGTGTTTCAACCAAAATATGGTTCACTAGAAAGTGCTGATTCCGGCAGTAGAGTTGATTGGTGGGTTGATCCTTTTCCCGGAATCAACAGATTGCGTGATTTCTGAATGACAGTCCTGTATTGTCATTCCACTCGGAACAACGCGGTTCTGTGGGCTTACCAAGGAACACTGCACTTGACAAAACTCATGCGTCAGAGTTGCGTCTCCTTGGGGGTGCCAGAATCCTTTCCTCTGTATTTCTGGATCTTGGTCCAGCAACACCTTACCTATGATCGTGGGTTTCACCAAAGTGGTTAACTGTAATAATAATGATGTTAAACTAATAGATTTCCAGTACAGATTCATAAATAGAGCTCAATATACCCAAAAAGGAATGATTGAAAATGAAGTTAATTGATTATGATATATGCTCTTTATGTGTCTCTGAATCTGAAAACCTATACCATGTAGATGTAGAATGCGTTTTTGTTAGGGAATTTTGGTTAGTAATTGAAGTGTACCTAACTTGCATATGGTATTCATATTACCATTCAAGATAATTTTTTTGCTCTAACAAATACAACTATCTTTTCAACTACATAATTTTTCTTGCAAGAAAATACATTCACCAGTCAAGCGTTAAGAAAACTCCATTATGCTTTCCTTTCTTCATAAAAAATTGAAAGATGTATGTAAAATAGAAACATTGATCGCAATCAATAGTAGTATTAATAAATTCGACAGAAAATGGAAGGACTTATCAGCCTACTTAATATAATATATCAGTCAATCCTATATATGTATATACCGTATTCGACATAATAAGCGCCCAGGGCGCTCTCAAAATTAGAAATAGGGGGCTCTTATTAGAATATTATTTTGGTGAAAAACAACCGGGTTAAAAGATCGTAAATTTCGTGGTTTATGCTGACAGCCTGAAATGTTTATATACGATAGATGTATTTTTCCAGAATCTAATTTCCCACAATAAAGGATCCATATCACACACGTATTATACACGAATAAATAAGTCTTGTGTACATTGATCAATCGGAAGGGGTGCTAATTGGGATTGTTCACTGGCCAATATATTAGCAAATATCGCCGTGGACGCTTATTAGAGCGGGGCGCTTATTACGTCGAATACGGTACCCATATCTGATCATGTCTTACGATACTGTGACTTGCTACACTTATATACCTCATGTACCAATATTACATTTATGTCTACTGAATTGAAATAAATTTTTTTAATAAAACCCCAAAACTGTAATACCTACATCAAGACGGCTATCCTCCCATGTTAAGCTATGACTGAAACACAGTTTCAAGCGGTGCCATACCGAACCCACTCTCTCACTTAAGATGATTGTCAGTAATGCTGTTTGACGTAACTCGTCTCATGGTATGGGGAGGCAGATACAGATTTATAAAACACATCTTCCTATGTTTCAGTACTTCACCTACACGATACTGGCAGCTGGGGCTTTTATATTTATCACAGGTACGAATAATCATGTCCCTGTCCCATTGAGATGTGTACATCTGGTATCAACCTGCAGTGGATCTGTGAATGTAGTATACTCACCGCCAAAAGAAACGCTAACCATAGAAACATACATCTTCCCGAGGCAAGAGAGTTAACTGACTACAAAAGTCCAGTTTCCACCCTTGCCGAACTAGGCTTGTATTATGGAGTTAGATTTTGGGTGGACTAACGAGTCTATGCCTAGTCCAATCAAAATCTCTCACCGAAATCGAAATCCGGTTCGTAAACTTTCGTGTACATGTAGATATCGGTCGATTGCAGGATTTGCACAGCAAATGTGTTGTCAACAGATATTTCCCAATTCTTTTCAAGTTTTTAATCAGGTGCTCACGTGATTTGATGCACTTCGCGATGTAAGACCCGTTTTCTCACAATATAGATCTTGATTATCGATCAGATCGTCTTGACTGGACGCCGCCCTTTTGGTTGAAGTAAATGCAAGTGATACGAGAGGTGGAATCTGATTGGTCCATAGGAAAGGCATAGAAGGGACTTAACTCGTAACAGCCACTGGTGGCGCTACGATCGAGCCAAGGAATTGCAGCCTAGTTCGGCAAGGGTGGAAACTGGACTTTTAAAGTCAGTTAACTCTCTTGCATCGGGAAGCTGAGAAACATATAGAAAAAGTATGTACGTAAAGAAGAGATGTTTCCAATGTGTACCACTTAATGACAAAACTAACAATCAGTCATTATTTCTTATCACGATATACTGCACGTGATTTCCAAACTTTACACGCTAATCCTGCACGAGACAAATGGCGCATCTTGAGTCATGGATCGATGAAGTCACATGTGATGCGTTCATGACCTGTTGGTGCGAATACCAGATTAGCAAGGCCCTGGTGTCTGTTCGTGACATTCACGCAAGTAGACCTGGAACGCTTCTGGCTATATGCGGACACGCAGTGATAGAATTGAGACACTGTTCAAAGCGGCGTTATCCTAACTCACTTAACAGGTAGCACGGGTAATATGCTTGTGTAGGTCAACATGCTTTTGTTGTCACGGGTACGGGTCTTGGTTGACGTCCGATAACCTCTGTCTGATTACACTTATTTATCGACTGTAAAACTACAACAATGGTCCAGGAGGTGTTCACAGTGGATTACGTGGAACAGCAAATATCCAATAAAAACAAATTATGTTACGGAGTACTGTCATAATGTATATAATGTTTTCGGTACTCGCCCGAGTGTCAGGTCTACCACGGTATAACTTACGTGAATTATACATCCGTGAAGATCCAGCAAACCATGCTTGTCGTAAGAGGCGACTAGCGGGATCGGGTGGTCAGGCTCGCTGACTTGGTTGGTGCATGTCATCATATCCCAATTGTGTGGATCAATGCTCATGATGTCAATCACTGGATTGTCTGGTCCAGACTTGATTATTTACAGACCGCTGTCATATAGCTGGAACATTGGTGGAACAAACAAACAAACAAACAAACAAGCGAATGAATTATATACTTTGCACCCCTTTGTCTCCACAGGGTTCCTCGGTTGTGTTGGAGGTTTGAAGGAACACAAATGCCTCCTAATAACAGTGAGTGAGTCTTGTCAGTTTCAGGAAGTACGTACACAGCGTTCCCGTGTGAGATGACAATGAAACCCCGCCTCATCGATATGTACACCACTCTGATAATACTGAGATCAATCATCACCACTAAAACACACACGAAATACCCTGCATTCTGTTATGATATCATACTTATTAAGACAGCCTCCGTGGCCTAGTGGTAGAGCGTCCAGCCGGAGAGCGGATGGTCCGGGGTTCGATCCGCGGCCGCTTCATACCAAAAGACGTGAAAATATGGTACTTGTTGTTACCCTGTCTTTTGCTCGGCATTAAGGGGCTAAAACAAGGACTGATCGGCTCGGAGTCAGTATACTGTGTGTGAGTGGGGTATTAAAGTTAAACTGCAGCATGGTATCTCAGTGTGCTTGCACTATAGATCGGCATCAGTCCGTACTAGTACAAGCAGCCACTCACACATGTGTAAGCACGTCGCTATATAAATGCAATAGTCTTGGACGCGACGTTAAACCCCCAATTCACCTCACCTCAAACTATGTATGTATGTATGTATGTATGTATGTATGTATGTATGTATGTATGCATGTATTGTATGTATGTATGTATGTAAGTATGTATGTATGTATGTATGTATGTATGTATGTATGTATGTATGTATGTATGTATGTATGTATGTATGTATGTTTGTATGTCTGTCTGTCTGTCTGTCTGTATGCATGTATGTATGTTCAATGTGTGTATCTGCGAGGTTCGTAAGAAATAGTTTCCATATAGTCAAAGTATTAGTTTCAGTTAACAATTAGAAACGTTTTATTCCCAAATCCACTCCAAATGACTTTCTCTTGCTCCTACAGGTCATAGTCCTGCTGTCGATCTTCCTCGCCGTGGAGATAGGGGGCGCTGTGGCCGCATATCTTCTAAGGGATCAGGTGGGTGAAGGCATGAGCAATTTGTCTGTCGCACAATTCAGCTTTGAAAAAAAGCACCTTATAGAGGTCGGTGAGATGGTGACTAAACATGGATCAGTCTTTGTCATATAAAGACTGTCGCTTTCATGTGACAAGTTTGTCCAAGTGACGCAATGACGCAGTGACGCAATGACGCAATGACGCCGATGCCCCTTGGGGGTTCTGGTCAGAATAGGTCTCCATCAACCTATTCTGGTCTTAAGAGGCGACCAAATGGATCGGATGATCAGACTCGGTGACTTGTGTGAATGCCTGTCATCGTACCCCGATTGCGCGTATTGCGCATATTGCTGAGTGCGGTAATAAATAAAATTGACAAAACCCTTAGTTTCCATATTTATGAGAAATCTCTGCAAAAAGCAGAGTTGATTGTATTATATCATGAGCCGACTATATCCTGAGCATGTGTTTATTAATCACTGTCACACACTTTCCAGCTTCAGGTTTACCGGAACTCCACTTGGCGGGACTTCAACACCGACACAAGGGACTTGATACAGGCTGAGGTAAGTTGTCATGGATACATACAAAATAATAGATAGATATCTACTCATCTACGTTAAGGCGATCACCATGCATATTAGATTAGAAAAATGTTCAATTTCCCCATCACTCGTCTTTCGTTTGTTGTTTAACGCCACACTCAGCAATATTCCAGCCTGACAATAATCGAGTCTGGACCTGGCAATCCAGTGATTGATATTGTAGACAACGATCAATGCTATGGGTATACGATGATGTGCAATTAACTAAGTCACAGAGAATGTCTAGCCGATTCATGTAGCGACCCATTCTAACCCTCCCTTCCTTGTGGTAAAGAGCGGTGGGGTAGCATAGTGGTAAAAGTGTTCGCTCGTCACACCAAAGACCCGGGTTCGATTCCCCATGGGTACAATGTATGAAGCCCATTTCCGGTGTCCCCTTGCGTGATTTTGCTGGAATATTGCTAAAAGCGGTGAAAAACAATACTCACTCACTCCTTGTGGTCATCCCAGTACCTCTGTCACAGGCCACACGCTGTGACGATCCATTACATGTTACCCTGTCCATTCAACCAATATTTGTTTAGCGTCTATTTAACTTGAAAATTGTCCATACATTTAGATAAACATTTGTCGATAATTTGATCAGCTATTGTTGTTGTGTACTAAGATGATGTTGTATGTGTAGTTGCAGTGTTGTGCGCTAAGACGATGTTGTATGTATAGTTTCAGTGTTGTGTACTAAGATGATGTTGTATGTGTAGTTGCAGTGTTGTGCACTAAGGGGATGTTGTATATGTAGTTGCAGTGTTGTGGGCTGTACTCGTACACGGAGTACAATGAAACAGTGATGAGGATCCCGCATAGCTGCTTCTCATCTCAGACCAATACGTCGGACATCTATCTCAACACCGTGAGTAGTTGTCTCCCCTGTGAGTTTTATAACTCAGACCAATACGTCGAAAACCTATCTCAACATAGTGAGTAGTTGTCTCCCCTTTCTGTTCTTAATCTGAGTCCAATACGTCGGAATTCTGTCTCAGCACCGTCAGCAGTTGTCTCCCCTTTATGAGTTTTATAGCTCAGACCAATACGTCGAAAACCTGTCTCAACATAGTGAGTAGTTGTCTCCCCTTTCTGTTCTCTATCCGAGTCCAATACGTCGGAATTCTGTCTCAGCACCGTGAGCAGTTGTCTCCCCTATGAGTTTAATGCCCGAGTCAATTCGCCTGACGTCTACCTGAACACTGTGATCAATTCCCGCTCCTACCTTCCTCTACCATTTGTTTATATAATATCATAGTCCAATTTACGTCGTACACAACCAGTGCGTCACACATATTGGATTCTAAAGACTGTGTGTAGCTTACGTTACTGCTGTAGCTATGAGTGAGTGAGTTAGTTAGGGTTAACGCCGCTTTTCATAGTATTCAAGTTATATCACGGCGTGTCATCCGAAGTGATGCAGGTCTCAGACGTTTATCACTTTGGTGAAACCCACGAGCACGGGTATGGTGCTGACAAAACCTAGAAACATATTTGGGGCGAACTGGGATTCGAACCCACAGTCATAGGTTCCTTGCGTGCCAAAGGGGCGCAACTCTGCACAGCGAATCGCGAATCTTCGACATCTGGGCCAGCCGTGCCCCTGCTTTAGCTATGATACAATGATAGGTTAAACATAAATATTACTGCTTAAGTAATATTTCACATGGTACAATAGAAGGTTGGTCGACTATAACGGTTTTGTGAGCTTCAAGCTGGAGAGTGACTGAGTGAGTAACTGTCCACCCGTATCCCCCTCAAGCAGTGGTAGTAATTACCTTCATTCATCATGTGAATAGTGTGAATAGGCGTTGTTTTCTGTAACAACTGCTGGGTGTTTTCAGGTTGGATGTTGGGGTAAGATCGACGAATGGCTGTTCGCAAACACCGTGATATGGGCATGTACAACGGCGGCTGTGGCTGTCGTCCAGGTGAGAATCGCGGGTGTTTACTTTTGACGTGACGTACATTCGTGTAACCAGGGTGATAAGACGGGTACATGGGTGTGTCTAGGGTTATAAGACGGGTAACATGACGTACATGGGTGTGCCTAGGGTGATAAGACGGGTAACATGACGTACATGGGTGTGCCTAGGATGATACGACGGGTAACATGACGTACATTGGTGTGCCTAGGGTGATAAGAAGGGTAACATGACGTACATGGGTGTGACTAGGGTAATAAGACGGGTAACATGACCTACATGGGTGTGCATAGGGTGATAAGACGGGTAACATGACGTACATGGGTGTGCCTAGGATGATATGACGGGTAACATGACGTACATGGGTGTGCCTAGGGTGATAAGACGGGTAACATGACGTACATGGGTGTGCCTAGGGTGATTTGACGGGTAACATGACATGGGTGTGCCTAGGGTGATATGACGGGTAACATGATGTACATGGGTGTGCCTAGGGTGATAAGACGGGTAACATGACGTACATGGGTGTGCCTAGGGTGATAAGACGGGTAACATGTACATTGATGTGTCTAGGCTGATAAAACGGGTAACATGACGTACATGGGTGTGCCTGGGTGATATGACGGGTAACATGACATGGGTGTGCCAGGATATCTTCTTTTTTGGAACGTCGCTGTGTTTACCCTAGGACATTACCCAGGAATCATTGGGAAACTCAACTTATCCGACCCTTCACGTCACTTCCGGTATCAGATATGAAAGGCGTAGAGACCAGCCTCCAATAAAAAGACGTTCCCTAATATCACCCGTGTATAAAAGTAAACTGATATTAATGAGGGTCAGGGCCCTTGATGGAGGACATTGTAGGTTGTCCACCGGTCTCGAGGGGAACATGGGTTGATGTGCCCTCAATGTTAGTATGGACCGGTGGACAACGAATTTAGTTTACCGCGCACCTAATTATAGTGCAGATGTGTCTTATGGTAGGAATACCACAGTTAGGCATTTATCCACTTCGTTCATTTTTCACATCCATCGACAAAAAGCAGACAATCCACCTAGATCTATTTCATTTGGAAAATATCGTAAATATACGTCGAATGGCGTCTTTTTTAATTAATTCGAGATACAAAATTTGGTCTTTTGATGAAAAGCCAACAGTTCGGCTATTGGATCGGGGAATATGAAAATGTACTTAACTTGCTAGCGGGGTACATAGAAAATATTAGAAAGTGTCTCAGCCAATCAGAATACGACATTCATGTGGAAGGCTGGAGAAATGGTGTGTAACAACTTCTCTGTGTTACAGCTGATGTGTCTGATCCTCGCCATCGTGATGCTGGTGAAAGTCGTCCGCTCACAGAAGGACCTGGTGCTGTGGGACGACTTCTACGACGTGAACTTTCTGCCATGTAACAGCAACGCCGAGAAAGCCTTGCAAACAGCGGATGGAAACTTTACCCTGAGTAGTTCCAGCAACTCATTGAGTTCGCCGTTCAGCACGCTCAGTGTGGCGGGGTCCGCCCGGGCGGACAGTGCGATTCGGAGACAACAAGAAAAACATTTCTACCGCCGGAGCTGGACGTATATGAACTTTGATGACCCCTGCACCCCTGGCACTAGTGTCACGTGATCATATCTAGGTTAATATGTTTTGTATGATAGGTGTATATATCATAATCACAATATCAAAACTAGACCGTTTCGCCAAAGCTTGTTAAGTGGCCTTTTGACTGACTCATCTCCAGGTTCGTTGAATGTTATAAACATGTGTGTCTATGGTATATGAGTGCTTATGAATGAATGAGTGTACGGTGGCCCATAAGGGACATGGAGTCTGTTTTTCAATATTTTGATGTTTCACATACCTTTATCGTAACCTTTTGCAAATGAACACAATTTGTCATACAAATATGTGATGAATCATGTATAAAAACAACCGAAAACATGGAAAATGAACTTTCAAGTAGCTATTGAGTCGCTGAAATGTGAAGCGAAAATGTCAAAAACTAAAATCGAAATGTCAAAAACGAAAACGAAAATGTCAAAAACAAAAGCGAAAATGTCAAAAACTAAAATGAAACCACAGAAAACTATTTCCACCGCGGTGATAATATTTCCACCGCGATGTAAATGTTATCACCGCGGTGGAAATAGTTTTCTGTATTTTCATTTTAATTTTGGCATTTTCGCTTTTTGTTTTTGACATTTTCATTTTAGTTTTTGACAGTTTCGTTTTTGTTTTTTGACATTTTCATTTTAGTTTTTGACATTTTCATTTCACTTTTCAGCGATTCAAATTCTTCTTTTCACATGATTTACCACATATTTGTAAGACAAATCGTGTTAATTTGCAAAAGGTAACGACAAAAGTAAGTGAAATATCAAAATATGGAAAAACAGACTCCATGTCCCTTATGGGCCACCGTATGAGTGAGTGTGTGAGTGTGTGAGTTGGGTGTAGGTGAATGAGTATGCATAGAACAATATGTGCGTTTAACTTATAAGTTTTGTACATACCATGTTGGAATTAAATATAGAGTGTCATTGATGCCTCTCGTTGTCTATCATGAATGAACACCACAAGTCCTTAAGTAATTGATTAATTGATCGACGGGATTGTCATGTCCTGACTTTTAACATATACAAATCTGACAAACAAATATAGAACGATACGCAAAAGGACATAGTGCTGCAGTGACTGTGAAGTCGCAGTCTGTATTCATGTATTGATTGAAACGTCTTAAAAAACCCACGATGACGTGAACTCTACCGACGACAAAACTGAGTTATCGGCCTTGGTACATTCTCAATGGTGAGTCCGTTTGTATGTTTAATTGCACGTGACCAGAAATCTAACTCATTCTATGCTCGTGAAAGCAAACTGAATGCGTGTGTCTTTCTTCATTGTTTTTATTGTTTAGGGTGCCCATTGCTTCTATCCTGTTTGCACATATTTTCATATTTTGTTTCATATTTTGAAATTTGAAATTTCATAAGTTTGAAATGTGCAGCGTGCGATGGAGACTAGTTCTTTTCAACGTCACACTAAAGCTCGTTCTGTTTTCACTTCTTACATACCTCTCTTTTGATCAGTCACTAGCTGGGATATTGCTGAGTGCGGTGTTAAACAGCAAACACAAAAATCATCCACATGCTTTGTTGTCTCACCACGTTCTGCTTGTTACATTTCTGATAATTTAAGAAATAAGCGACACGTGGTCGTTGTAAATCGTACAATAAAACAATGCAAGGAGAATTATACCATGAAGGGCGCAGCCCAGAGTGTTTTCCGCTGCAGTGTTTTAAACTGCAGGCTTATAACGGTTCTAACGAACTGACGGATATAACGAACTGAAATCAGTGGTCTCTTTGAGTTCGTTATGACCATAGTTTACTGTATATGTGGCTTCGACCTGGAACATTCACTCACTCTCCTTATTGCAAGTTAAGGGGCGATACGACGTATGTGTCGAAAAGACCTGCCTTGGTCTATGTGATAATTGTTTAGTTTGAAAATGTAGAAATCTCATTTATCGAACTTTCTTATCTGTAATGTTGACCAATGTGACGGCTACACTTTGCCGGTGTGTATGTGTCAACGAACGACCGTCACCCCACTATATGAAGTGCTTCTAACTTAAGGGCACTTATGGAAAAGTGGTCGAAATTCGCTGGCAGAGTTGCGTCCCCTACTTGGCCAGGATCCGCTGCTGTGCGTTTCACCAAAAGAAACTTCCACAAACGTTATTTTGCGTTTAGGTTTTCTTCACAATCAAGTTGACTGGCCGTGGTATAACTATGTTCCAAGCAAAGTTTGGCCATTAATACTAGCACAACACACGGGTGAAAAAATTAATCAACTCATTTTATTACCAGAACATTTGTATATACAACATAATTCCTGAAAAACAAATGAACAAAATACATTTCTACATACATAAAGTAACAATTCAACTATTCTCCAAACAAGTTATCTCTGGTTTCCTTGGCAACCATGTACTGATAGTCTTGGCAAGGGCTGGCGGGGTGGGGGTGGAGGATGGGGGTGAATGTGGCTCTGATGACAAATCGTTTACATTGCGCGTGACGATGATGACTGATGTGGCGATAACTGCCAATTTTGATTATATATGAGTGATACTGTCTGGGTGGTCCGTCTCTCCGTCCTGTATGCCGCGCAATGACGTCCTTGTGCAAGTCTGGTATATGTATAATGACGTCACAGTCAGTAACACAAACACAATGATGAGTCCAACAACAATGTATGCTGACGTCACAAGGCCAAATGCAAAATAATACGCTGTAAAGTCACAATAGGTGGTCCTGATGGAGTCGTGAAATTGCACTATTTTCTCCACACTGTAGATCCACACTGATCCTGCAACGAAATAATCACAATGAGCCTTCTTGACACCACAGATGAAAAAAACTAAAATATTCTTAAAAGTATATGTTGAATTCAGAAAATATTTTTAAAATTATATGTTGAATTCAGAAAATATCCTGCAAAGCATATGTTGAATTCAGAAAATATTCTTAAAAGTATATGTTGAATTCAGAAAATATTCTTAAAAGTATATGTTGAATCCAGAAAATACTCTTAAAAGTAAATGTTGAATTTAGAAAATATTCTTAAAAGTATATGTTGAATTCAGAAAATATTCTTAAAAGTATATGTTGAATTCAAACACACACATTTGATTATGTTCATATTGAATTTCGTACTCTGAAGTTAAAGGAAGGATTTGTCTATACATATCCATCATGGACAAATATCATGTGAGATAGAGATTGGAAATGTTGTACACATCTCACTTGACTACATCTGTTGTAATTCGAGGACATATATGTCCTGTTTTTTGTCGAAAGATGTCAAAACGAGAATCGGGTGTCCACAATGACCTCTCAATAACCTGGATACAATTCGTAGATTGGGTGGCATCCTTTTGTGAATTCCCATGAGTGCTACCTGACTGAATGTGCCACATTGACTCAGTTAAACACCACCCTAACGAACACACTGTGACATCTTACTGAACGAACGACGAACATTTTAACCCCCACTCACATCTCTCACTCTCCATCACTCACTCACACAACCTCTCACTCACACAACCACTCACTCACACAACCCCTCACTCATACGTCCACTTACACATCCACTCACTCACACAACCACTCACTCACACAACCCCTCACTCATACATCCACTTTCACATCCACTCACTCACACAGCCACTCACTCACACAACCATCTGCTCACACACCCACTCACTCACACAACCATCTGCTCACACAGCCACTCACTCACACAGCCACTCACTCACACAACCATCTGCTCAAACACCCACTCACTTTCACATCCACCTCACTCACACAACCACTCACTCTCACATCCACTCACTCACACAGCCATCTGCTCACACACCCACTCTTTCACACAACCATCTGCTCACATAGCCACTCACTCACACATCAACTCACTCTCACATCCACTTACTCACACAGCCATCTGCTCACACACCCACTCTTTCACACAACCATCTGCTCACATAGCCACTCACTCACACAACCACTCACTCTCACATCCACTCACTCACACAGCCATCTGCTCACACACCCACTCTTTCACACAACCATCTGCTCACACAGCCACACTCACTAACACACCCACTCACTCACACAACCATCTGTTCACACACCCACTCACTCACACAACCACCTGTTCACACAGCCACTCACTCACACAGCCACTCACTCACACAACCATCTGCTCACACAGCCACTCACTCTCACATCCATGCACTCACACAACCACTCACTCTCACATCCACTCACTCACACAACCATCTGCTCACACACCCACTCACTCACACAACCATCTGCTCACACAGCCACTCACTCACACACCCACTCTTTCATACAACCATCTGCTCACACAGCCACTCACTCACACATCCACTCACTCACACCCACTCACTCACACAACCATCTGCTCACACACCCATACACTCACACAACAATCTGCTCACACACCCACTCACTCACACAACCATCTGTTCACACAACCACTCACTCTCACATCCACTCACTCTCACATCCATCTACTCACACAATCACTCACTCACACAACCACTCACTCTTCCACCCACTCAGTCACAACACCCAACTCTCAAACACTCACCAACACGTTCACATGCACTCCTCCCTCCTCCACCCACAAACACAATGTGTTTCCCAGACTGTCAAAGCTTCAGCTAGTGTAATTAGTATCGTGCTTCACGTATCCAGCTTATACAGAGCTGGTGGTCATTGTCCTGTACAATATAAAGGCTAAGTGCAGATAACTGCAAGGTCCATACATCGATTAACCCACCTGCCAAGTTCCACAGGACGAGGAAGAGTACTAGTATTTTCAGGAGGATGCTCGTGTTATCGAGTCTATTGATATCCGAGTCACTGCACTTCTTTCTCTCCACACACAGTCGGATAGCTGAGATGCCCGTATGTAGAGCCAGGATGCTGCCGTCGACCAACAGGAACACCGGAATGGCCGGCTCAAAGGGACATAACTCCTTCTTCTGTATACCTGTGGCATAAAGTGTTGTATCAGTTTTCTTTTGCAAAATACCGAAAAGCGGTAATACAAATTCGTCCGCATAAAAGCTCAAGTTTACAACATTCAAGTCCCCAGTAAAGATTTCAAGAAGTGTCACGGAAGACATGTAGAGGACATTTCCAAATCTGACCCATCAGTGACAAAAATGATGACGATGCAATTCCCTAATTTGACTTGTACCATATGTTCCCGAGTTTTGTCAGGTGGACATTTGACTTGCCTTGTGTTTGTGACGGGTGCCACCGGTGCGGCGGGATACACTCACCACTGATGGTATCATCACTATTTGATAATGATTCATAAACACATGCGCATGATCGGAATCGTTCAATCGACTCTGATTTTAGCAGAGATTTCTTATACATAAGGAAAGGGTCTGTACATTGTTTAGTTTTTCTTGATATCGTTATATAGATCTGTTCGAGAGAATAACTCTGATATATGAGGTTAAAATATAAGAAAACTATAAAATGATTACAATAGCAATTAAACGTGAGAGAAACGTTCTGTGCAGAGCTAACTATTTGGGGTACTTACCGATGAAGAGCATGCTCACAGTTATACAGATGCTGCAAAACCTCACACATTCCCGTATCACTGGAAATATAGATAATAGTGTTTAGTGAGAGTGAGAATAAAACATACATGTATTATTGCCAAAACAATATCTGATCAGCTATTGCAACATTTAGTCATAAGTGACATGAGACAGAGACTATCTTCAGGATAATGCAGGGTTGCATCCCAAAGTAATGCCAGGATCCTCATGGAAATATTCGCACCGATTATGTCCCGGACAAGTCAACATCAACGACCTGTGTTACGTTAGCAACCTACCAATATGACGTTTACGCCTGTAGGACTGAAGTACTTCAAATATGTACGGTTCATAACTTCCGTGACTATCCAATAACATGTCCTGTGGCAACGCGTCGATACGTGATAGGCAGCAAGCCAAAATATGCATATACCCACAGAGTGAGTAAACGAATGTAGTTTTACACCGTTGTCAGCAACTTCCAGGTGTTTAACAACGGCTTCAAAATTCGAGATTAAACATATCTTATTTTCTTAGGTCCAACAAATAATGTGTATGAGTGTCAAATAAGTTCCAGGTATGATACTTTGACGTTGAATCAGCAAATGATAAAAAAACATGTAACTGTGGTATCTCGGGGTGTGTGAGAAAAGTATAACGGCTCAATAACGGCTTGAACATATAAAAAAAATACACATACATTGTGAATATGTGAGCCATATATACATACCACAAACAGAGTGAGTGAGTATATAAATGAGTGCGTTAGGTATTCCGCCGTGTATATATACTCAGCGATACCGAAGCTGGTTGACACCAAAAGCGTTTTTCGTACATTGTACCCATTGTCATAGATTTACCCATAAAGATACAATACCGACCACACTATCACAAAAAATACTGTAATTGATATACCTATGCCGTATATCAAATTTCACCCCAAGCAATTTTCGTATTGTTAGTATGGAAGCGCTGTCACAGTTCGAACCAGTCATTAAGGTATTTGATAAATGCGTATATGTTGAAGCCGGATAACTAAGGTATGATTAAAGATTTGGAGATAACATCAGTTGTGAAATCATGGACGTTGTTCAACACTCATCTGTCTTCATGTATGAAAGCTATATTCAGCAGATAAGTCTATGATGATGATAAGTGTTTATAACCTATCATTAAGGTTTTAAGTCACAACACATGTAGATGTATCCTGCGATAGGACATCGATGCTAGACGTATTATTAACATCGACCTTACCTCTGTTTCTAAAACCATCTCTCAGGAAGAGGTATGATACGCGGAAAGGGTTGTGTTTCCGCTTCTTGATCCCTTGAGCTGCGTTTCTGTTCTTGCCACAGCATTCATACTGCAACAGAAAACATTAACCCTTGACTAAAAGTCATAATATGTATAGAACAGAGAACACTGATCCTTTACTAGAAACCACCATATGTATAGAACAGAGAGCATGTACCCTTGACTAGAAGTCAGCATATGTATAGGACAGAGAGCATCTACCCTTGACTAGAGGACATAATATGTATAGAACAGAGAACACTCATCCTTAACTAGAAACCACCATATGTACAGAACAGAGGGCATGTACCCTTGACTAGAGGACATCATATGTATAGAACAGAGAGCATGTACCCTTGACTAGAGGACATAATATTTACAGAACAGAGAGCATGTACTCTTGACTAGAGGACATAATATGTACAGAACAGAGAGCATGTACCCTTGACTAGAGGACATAATATGTACAGAACAGAGAGCATGTACCCTTGACTAGAGGACATAATATGTACAGAACAGAGAACATGTACCCTTGACAAGAGGACATCATATGTATAGAACAGAGAATATGTACCCTTGACCAGAATTTATCTCATCTATAGAACAGAAAATATGTACCCTTACAAGAAGCCATCATATATATAGAACAGAAACCATGTACCCTTGACCAGAATTTATCATATGTATAGAACAGAAAATATGTACCCTTACAAGAAGCCATCATATATATAGAACAGAAAATATGTACCCTGATAAGGAGCCATCACATGTATAGAACAGAAAACATGTACCCTTGACCAAAGGTATTGAACATACGTGCACTGAAACAGAAAACGGGACATGCACTTGATTTATAAACGCCAAAATGCACTGGAATAAGAACATGGTACTGGAATGGAAGCCGCATTTGGAAACGGTAAATGCCATTTGCACTGAACTAGCAAATAGCTTATATCTGTATCTAAGGAAAATACAACCATTTACACTGAGTAGAAAACAAAAATATCACACAACTGAAATAATGCATCAATTGCCTCGTAACAAAATTCTGACATCATGTGGAGTGCAATAAAAGACAATCCTCATTTCGTCATTGTAATATTAGAGTTGATTTGTGTAAAAAGTGTAATGTTTATTATTTTGAATCTTTACCTTAATGCCCTGACAATGAATTCACAATGAAAATCACTGAGACACCGTTGTTCTCACTGATATACAATATAGACATGCATGTACTACATACGTTGTACCACAGTATATATACTCTCTCAGTCAGTATATACACGTATCTACCACATACACTGTACAGTGCGCCTCACTATGCCTATGCTTGTTGTAAGGCGAGAGCATTGATCTGGTACATCCCTCTGGTGTATCAAATTAAAATCTCCTCCCCCAATTGTATTTAAGATGATGAAGCAAATATAAGAAAGGGCTGGCGTGTCCTTAGGCCTCGATCGGAAACAATGGAATCCACATTGGGGTTCATTGTGGCGTGATTAGATCAATTAACTAATAGGTGATCGATATGATAGTCTGGTCATTCGGATATCGTCGGTCAGTCACACTCGTGCTTAGATGCATAGTACTGGCTTCATTAACACAGGGAGATGGACGGGGTGGTCTAAAATGGCTCATGGATTGAGATGTTTACAAGATCGGATCTGACTACAGCTCATGAAGATCTTGACGGCTGAAAACGAAACTACCCTTGTCGAAGTCTCTAATCTCGTTGTCAAATGCAGGAACACAGTGTGGCTGTTGACGGAATACATAGTGACAAACGTAATCAGTATTATCATTACTCATTTTAAACATGTAACCTAATCAATATCTGGATCCACCGTCTTCTCATAGTGCATCGTGTGCTACCAGCTCATCGTTCTGAATAGTCGGCACCGGTTGCTGTAGACCGCCTCCGTGGTCTTGTGGTAGAGCGTCCGCCCGGAGAGCGGAAGGTCCAGGGTTCGATCCCGGGCCGCGTCATACAAAAAGACGTTAAAAGATTGTACTTGTTGTTACCCTGTCTGGCGCTCGGCATTAAGGGGCTAAAACAAGGACTGGTCGGCTCGGAGTCAGTATACTGTGTCTGAGTGGGGTATTCATGTTAAACTGCGGCATGGTATCTCAGTGAGCTAACACTATAAATCGGCATCAGTCCGGACTAGTACAAGCAGCCACACACACACATACACGTGCATGCACGTCGCTATATAAGTGCAATAATCTTGGACGCGACGTTAAACCCAATTTCACCTCACCCTCACCGGTTGCTGTAATTTATTGTATTTAAAATAAACTCGTATCTCCCAAGTTACTGATATCTTCAACACTCTAGTATTATGAGATATATAGAACTCAAATCCGTGGTAGGGTCTGTAATTTGCACGCCTTAGGGCATCTCTGCCTGAATATTTAATAGGAAGCATGATAACAAGGTACAATTGCACAATCACTACAAGCATTAGCCCCGCAACACTCTTCATAGGGACACATGTGACACATACCACAGGGGAAACAGGACACACAGGGGAAAGTATGGGAAGTATAACACATGAAATTAAACAAGACACATGAAGAAACAGGATACAGGGGAAACAGGACACATGGGGACATATGACATAGTGGGAAACATGAGGGAATATAACACATGAAGAAACATGGGAATTATAACACAGGAAGACACATGGGAATTATAACACAGGAAGACACATGGGAATTATAACACAGGAAGAAACATTGGAATTATAACACAGGAAGAAACATGGGAATTATAACACAAAAAGAAACATAGGAATTATAACACAGGAAGAAAAATGGGAATTACAACACAGGAAGAAACATGGGAATTATAACACAGAAAGAAACATGGGAAATATAATACAGACGGAAACATAGGAATTATAACACAGGAAGAAACATGGTAATTATAACTCATGAAGAGACATGGGAAATGTAACACATGAAAGAAACAGGACACATGAAGAAAAAGGACACAGGGGAAATATAACACAGTAGGAAACATGGGAAATATAACACATGAAGAAACATGATATATATATCAGAGGAGGAAACATGAGAAGTATAACACAGGAAGAAACATGGGAAATATAAACACATGAAAGAAACAGGACACACGAAGAAGGACACACGTGGAAACAGGACACTTGGCGAAACAGGACATAGCGGAAACAGGACATGGAGAAACAGGACATAGCGGAAACATGACATGGAGAAACAGGACACGGGAAGAACAAGGACATAGCGGAAATACGACATGGAGAAACAGGACATAGCGGAAACATGACATGGAGAAACAGGACACGGGAAGAACCAGGACATAGCGGAAATACGACATGGAGAAACAGGACATAGCGGAAACATGACATGGAGAAACAGGACACGGGAAAAAACAGGACAGAGGGGGAAACAGGACACAGGAAGAAACAGGACATAGCGGAAACAGGACACGGGAAGAAACAGGACAAAGGGGGAAACAGGACATGGGAAGAAACAGGACATAGCGGAAACAGGCCATGGAGAAAAAGGACATAGCGGAAACAGGCCATGGAGAAAGAGGACACGGGAAGAAACAGGACAGAGGGGGGAACAGGACACAAGGACATCGCACCCAGGAGCGCTTTCTACAACATTGGATCAGTGGCCGGATTGTTCAACAATACATGTTGTGTTTCAGACAAACTCTGCAAGTGTAGACAAGGCCACACGGACATATTTGGCTAACATTCGGTATTGACATGACCACACTTTAGTTACACGCGCTCTTTGTGAGCGGCTATCTAGTAAAACATACCACGTCGTCTTATGTTTAATCATACTAAAATGCCAAATATCTTAAAATACATTTGAAACCGTGTGTGCAGTGGAGCGTATTCAAACACGCGGATACCAAGGACGCAAACTAACGTAATTTGTTCACTTCATACTTAGTTCACATCCTTTGCTCATGTGGGCAGTTTATAACGTATGCATATCTATTTGTATTTTTATCATATTAACACAAAAAACAAGCACCTCCTAAAAATACAAATCACCATTTTGTGATACTACGAGGTACAGAATGAATACACATTCGAAGTGTAGGTTGAAGCCAACGTCGAGGTTGCCGTCTTTCTCTAAAATCCAGTAAAACGTGGATCACCACATCACACTGCGATGGTGGTTGTTGAGGTACAATATTGAGAGGGATTTGTCCATTGTAAGTCTTGCTATAGTTATACACAAATGCAGTACGGGTACCCAAATTGCAATAAAACTGAGATATTTTCATAAGTCCTTCTACCATCCTACAGTGTATGTTCTTGGTTTATTTGACGTGCTGACCAAGTGTAACACCTACCCATCCTTACTTCTTGAGGATAAATTATGACCATTTGCCAAAAGGATAGCTACATGTCCCCTCAAGTAAAGTGCATTGTGGGTAAAAAGAGAGAGAAAAAATGAACAATAGTAGTAATAGGTAGCAGTAGAAGAAGTAGGAAGTAGTAGTAGAATAGTAGCAGTAGTAGAAGTGGGAAGAGTAGTAGAATAGTAGCAGTAGTAAAAGTAGGAAGTAGTAGTAGTAGAATAGTAGCAGTAGTAAAAGTAGGAAGTAGTAGTAGTTGAATAGTAGCAGTAGTAGAAGTAGGAAGTAGTATTAGAATAGTAGCAGTAGTAGAAGTAGGAAGTAGTAGTAGTAGAATAGTAGCAGTAGTAGAAGTAGGAAGTAGTATTAGAATAGTAGCAGTAGTAGAAGTAGGAAGTAGTAGTAGTAGAATAGTAGCAGTAGTAGAAGTAGGAAGTAGTAGTAGAATAGTAGCAGTAGTAGAAGTAGGAAGTAGTAGTAGTAGAATAGTAGCAGTAGTAGAAGTAGGAAGTAGTATTAGAATAGTAGCAGTAGTAGAAGTAGGAAGTAGTAGTAGTAGAATAGTAGCAGTAGTAGAAGTAGGAAGTAGTATTAGAATAGTAGCAGCAGTAGAAGTAGGAAGTAGTAGTAGTAGAATAGTAGCAGTAGTAGAAGTAGGAAGTAGTAGTATTAGAATAGTAGCAGTAGTAGAAGTAGGAGGTGAG